GAGTTCCGATGGATTCCAAGGGAAATCACCTATCACAGGTAAAGCTGTACTTTCTCTCGCCAAGCCCCTGGAGGTAGCATCTCCACTTCCCATTCTTTGCCAATGGCTCCTGTGACTGAACAGAGAAGCTTTTTCTGAAATAAGACAAAAGCGTTTGTGGAAGAGCCACAGAATAAAAATAGAGATACAAGTGCTTACTTTCAATTCTTTTCTTTTAAATGTAAATAATTGCTCCATGATCCATGCCGCCACTTACCCCAACTGAATACCAAAATAGCCAAATCCTTTTGAATCCTTTTTTTTTTTTTTTTCCCAGAGACAGTGTCCTGCTGTTTCCCAGGCTAGAGTGGCAGTGGTGCCATCCCAGCTCACTGAAGCCTCAAACTCCTGGGCTCAAGGGATCCTCCCGCCTCAGCCTCCTGAGTAGTGGAGACTACAGGCACGCACCACCACATAAGCTCTAGGCGAAAGAATGAGGCTCCTTCTCAAAAAACAAAACAAAACAAAAAGCTGAATCTCAATCTTAAAACCTTCACCTTCAGGGAGGAATGTTTGTTTGAGACCGAGTTTCACTCTTGTTGCCCAGGCTGGAGTGCAATGGCGTGGTCTTGGCTCACCGCAACCTCCACCTCCCGGATTTAAGCTATTCTCCTGCCTCAGCCTCTCAAGTACCTGGTATTACAGGTGCGCATCACCAAGCCTGGCTAATTTTTATATTTTTAGTAGAGAGCGGGTTTCACCATGTTGGCCAGGTTGGTCTCGAACTCCTGACCTCAGGTGATCTGCCCGCCTCGGCCTCCCAAAGTGCTGGGATTACAGGTGGGAGTCACTGTGCCCGGCCTGAGGAATCATATTTGGATTACTCATCTCTCTGGCCACTTTAACTTATAAAAAACTAAATTAAGAAGTAAATAAGCCAGAATCCCTCCCCGCTCACCCACTTTGGTCTCCCCAAGAACAGGAGGATTATAAGAAAGGAGCTGGGGAGACAGTGGGGTCTTCAGGGGTTCCCTGAGACGCCTCTTCCTGCCCTCGTTCCAGCCTTGGAATTGGAAGGAGGGAACCTGTGTCTGAAGTGATTGACAGGTGGGGGCAGGAGTGTGGATTCTGGCCTGTGCTTGACACTCAAACCCAAGCTACAGCAAGGGTTAGCAGCCCACAGAGGGCGAGGCCAGGAGGCGCAGGGAGACTGCTGTCCCTAAGCAGCTGTGCTGGGCTGTGCTCACCCCGGTTGCCCCCCCGGCACCTTCGGGGGAACCTTCAACCTGGTGAATGGCAGCTGGTTCCTCTGTTGAGCAAACTTTCCAAGGAAAGCTGGGCTCTCCAGAGAATCTCAACACCCGGACCATGACGTCTCAACACCATGATGTCTGGATGGGGACACATCTCTGGGGCCCCCGACAGCTTATTTAATCATATGGAAGACAGGTGCACAGGTGTGGATCCCTCAAATTGTAAACAGTGCTGTGCAGTGCTGTGTGGCCCTCAGAACACCAAGGTCCACTGGGTGGAGGCCCCGTGGCTGCAGTCGTGGACCACTGGTTTCCCTGAATCTCACTGCTACCCTTATGCAGATGAACGCCCACCCCAGTGTGCCAGGACACTGGTACAGGTGGAACTTGCTGCCTGAGGATCTAGGAGGTAGAAGAAGCTGAGTTGGCGGCTGCTCTCCCACTGGAGCCGAGAGCATCAATACCCGGGGCTTCCGGTGCAGCAGACATGCACTTCCGCCCCTGCAGCAGGGACGCACAGAAGCGCCCACCCCCAGGAAGGCAGCACCTATGCACAGAACTAGAAAGGACAAAAGCTCAGGTGCTTGGAAGTTCCCCTGGGGTCCCTTGGAATTCCTGAGACTCTCCTGGCTTGGAGGGCGTGGGCGCCTTGGGAGTGCCGGCCGGGCTCTTGGTGGGAGGCTGAGAAGAGCAGCAGCAGCAACAGAGAGAGAAGAGCCGGGTTCGGACGGCGCGGGTGCAGAGGACGAACATGATGCAGTTGGCACCTCCCTGAAACGTGTTCCCGATACCCTGTCAGGAGAAAAGGAGCTGTGAGCATGGGGCTGGAGTTGGTCTCAGAAACACACGTTCTCTTAATTCTTCCAATTAAGAGAAACGGCTAGGCTGGGCACGGTGGCTCATGCCTGTAATCCCAGCCCTTTGGGAGGCCGAGGC